GGATACCCTTTATGTCTCTACAAATTAATCTGCAGATTAACACTGCCTAATGCCTATATTACTATAAGATTAGTTACACCAACCACTATTACCCAACTTATGCGTTTATTTAAACATCATGAAGATGTGTCCACACGTCAGGTGAAACTTTCGCAGAAGGGAGAATCCTACCACTAGTTTAAAACTGTCTAAACCTGCTGGTTCATTATTGTAGGGAGCAAGTTATTATGAAATATTATCATAGAAACTAACCCCAGTATTCCAGTCACTGTTATCACTGATCCTCAGGATGTGCCACTAGCATATCGTCACACTACCATTTTCATCACCTGTGGAACTGGCGTTCTTGTTTAGATTCCAATTTAATCTTAACGATTCTCATCAGACTCATTTGGTCTTAACGATTTTTGTCTAGATTGTCACTTCCTGTGGTCAATAACCTTTTGCCCTTTCAGTCCATTTAAGTTCATATGAACATTACTCTAAAACTAGATCCTTAAGCTCCAGATTGGGGTAGATCAGTTTAGGGTTAACCTCTTTTGGGTTATGTAACGGAGTCTGCCGTCACCAATTTGGGTTGAGATTTTTGTGAGCTTTTACCGGAGTTAGATCAGAAGCCTTTCCTCATACAACCTTCTGTACTTCGATCTGTTTTCAGCCCATGATCGTTGGGAAGACCAGAGGTCCTATCTTTATACAGCTTAACTGAATTTGAATATAATAAGGATTATTGGATACGACTACAGCTCCTAATAATACCACTTCAATACCAGTTTGATACCAGTTTAATACTTAAATTTAATAAAAAACATATAAGTAGGTCACAACCCATATATTAAATTTATTATAGATCGGTATCATTTCGATACCTGTTCGATACCAGTTTGGTACTTTTTCGGAGTTCTAGGTGCGACATATGTAGGATATCCAGTAAATCTATATATGAAGGTAAATATGCTTTTTGCCCTCTGTGAGTATTGAACTAGAGACATGCGTTTGGTGACCTGGGAGCACTATCCACTGTGCTATTGACCTATAGGTCGTTTAAAAATATTTTTTATAATAAATATAAATATATAGTATATAAGAATTATATTTAGTTAAATTTTAATAGTAATTTGTTTATATATAAGATTAATAAATACTTGCATTTGTAGTTTGATTAGAGGTTAAAAAAAAATTTTTTTTTATTTATATACAGTATATAAATATTATAATTCTATTTTTTTTATTAATTATAAATTTTTATAATTTTTTTTTTTTTGAAGAAGCAAATGGCTATCGCGCCATCATTTATTATTATAATTTTAGACTTGCGGGTTACAAGATTTACAACATGAGAAGTATGACATACATCTCTCTTTGCTAGAAAGAGTTAAATGCAGAGCCTATAAAGGTCATCCCTAAGCTTCTTGGTACCATTCAAGAAATACAGTAAAAAAGAATATTTAAAACCTATATTATGGCCTTAAATGGCATCTAGCTACCTAGAAATTAATTTGAATGCCTAATCACATGAAGGTACTGTAGTCACTTTATACAGGTTTGCCTCCAAGTCATAAGTAGAACTGGCACACTTGCTTCACAAATGTGGCTTGATGTTTGGCATGTAGAGTAGTGTCAAGAAATTTTTGTTTATGATTATCTTTTCATATGAAGGCGCTGCAGTCACTTTATATAGGTTTGCTTCCAAGTCATGAAAAGGATTTGGCACACCCATTTCTCAAGTGTGGCGAAGTGTTCCATGGGTGGAAAATTTTTATAATTTTTATTAATTATATAATTGTTTTATTAATATAATTTTTGTTAATTATAATATTTCAATAATAATAGTTTTAATAATAATAATTTTTTAATAACAATAATTTTTTATTAATTATTTTATATACAGTATATATATAATATATAATAATAATATTTTTTAAATTATATTGTATAAAATTGCCAAGTAATATATAACAAACTGTTAACAATTATTATTTATATGATTATATTTTTATAAAAAATTTTAATTAATAATATAATTATTAATTGTTGGTTATTTATTAAATATTATTTAATAATTTTATTATAATATAATTTTTTAAAAAATAATAAAATAAATGTTGTTTTTTTTAATTACTGCTATATATAAAATAAAAATATTATATAACTACAATATTGTAAAAAAATTTTTTCTAATTAAAGTTTTTTAAATTTTTGTTACATATGAAACTTTTTTAAATAAATATAATTAAATATAATTTCTTATCATTGCAGTTTCTTATTAACTATAATTTTTTATTGTCATAATTTTTATTTAATTATAGTTTTCTGTTATTAAAATTTATTATTAATTATAATTTCTTACAATTTTTTATTAATTATGTTTTGTTATTAATTATGATTACAATTATGTACAAATATAAAAATATCTTATCCATGAGTGTTTTGCAATATATACAATTTAGCTCTAGTATAAAACCTTAAGATTCAATATATTATTGTTTTATTTGTATAAAAATTAATAAATACAGTGATTGCAATTTGATTAGAGGCAAAAAAAAAAAAAATTAATTATGATTATAATTAAGATTTCAATTACAGTTTTTTATTGATTACGATTTTATATTAATTACAATTTTGTATTAATTACAATTTCATATTAATTACGATTTTGTATTAATTATGATTTCATATTAATTACAATTTTATATTAATTACAATTTTGTATTAATTACAATTTCATATTAATTACGATTTTGTATTAATTATGATTTCATATTAATTACAATTTTATATTAATTACAATTTCATATTTAATTTGAATATAGATATCATATTATTATTAAAATCATATTAATTCATAAATTAAAAATATAATTTCACCACATGTGACGACTGATCTATAAAAATGTGTAGTTGGTGATTTAGGGTCAAAATTGGGTTTTTGTGTAGGATATATACTTGGGAATGCTATCTATCTTGTGCCATTTTCCTGATCTCAAGTGTAATAGTAAAGTTTTTCACAACAGCAGTTAGAAGTTTGATAGTATGATACAAGCAAGGTCACCGAAATCTCAAATTCGTACCCTAAAATTCTTGCCAATCATTACAATAATAATACTATAATAGTGTAATGACTCTGTTGCTCACTCTAGCAGAGACTTGCATAACCGTTATCAGGTAAGTAAATGAAAAGGTGATTTGAGGTGTGTTTTATTTGACCGAGTCTTGATTAATTTTCTTTTCTAATTGTTTTCTCACTCTCTATCTTTTACATTCCATTTATACTTCTCTTTCTTTACATCTGGCTATAGCAGCTTAGCCATAGAATAATAGACGCTAATACAATGGTATGGCTAAAGCTAGATGACATAATTCTTTTTCACATTCCTTCTCGTTTCTTCCTGATTACCTAATTATCACAGCTATCTTGTCATTAACGTGACAATTGGTCATGTGACAGACGTTGCATTTCATTTTTACCTGTTATCTACTCTTTTAATTGTTTATTCTGTCATTCATACCTTTCACTCTTCAATAATAAGCAAATATATAAATAAAATACATAAAGGAGAACAAATTTATTGATTTATTTCATATAAAACTAGCTTTATGTTTCAAAAAACAGTTGAATGTTATTCTATCAGTTTCACTAGTTTGATAGACAGTTATGATTTCAGTTATTATAAAAAGAAAAACCAATTGCCTGCTATACATATGGCATAAATTATTTTGCTGTTAACTCAATTCCTAAAATCCTCAAAAATAATTGCATCATGACTCAATTATTTATATGTTTTAATAGTGACTCAATTAATTGCATCAAATAATTATATTAATTGTGTCAAGGATTTACAAATTTCAGCAACATGTATATTGCCTGCTAATCTTGAAAATTATAATTTTGATAATTATAAAAATAACGAGCTAATACAAAATACCATTCAAGACTTGAACAAGTTCTTTACTACTGTTAAATGTCAATGCTCTAGTAATAATAAGAAAAATAAAAAGTGCTTTGAGGTCGTAGGATTTAAATGGTTCTTTGAATGTTATCTCCAATTTCGAGCTTTGGGTAAAGAAAAATTAGATGTAGTATTAATGGGACAAATATTGGCATTCCAATGTGATAAAAATATAAAAATGGATGGGCATCATTTGCATGATTTTTTTAGATACTAATTTAATGGACAAATTGCTCTCTGTATGACAGTCTATTTAAAACTGGTAGGAGTTAGTAGAAATAAACTTGATGCGATTAAGCGACAACTAGAGAAATATGGACTAACAATGAGAATACATAGTAATACCAAGTGTTTGCCTCAGCGATCAAGCAAAGTAACCATTACTCATGATAATGCCAAAGAAGTTTCATCTTTTATTCTTAATTATGCTGATATTAATGGGCTTCCAAGACCTGGTAGCTATCTAGAAAGAAATGATTAGGCATTGATTTACTTGCCTATAGATGAAAACTATACTTCCATTTTTCATAAATATAAACAAGCTATGAAATCGATAAATAGAAATAATGATCAAATCAGTCAGTCCTCTTTTGTTCGTTTGTGGAAATTGCTCATTTCTCATATTAGGTTTATAACTCCCAAGTCAGATTTATGCAATGTTTGCAAAACATTAAAATGGAAAATTGGTCATACCAACAAGCCTGAAGATAAAGAAGAATTATTAGTTGAATATGCTATTTATATAAGAATTGCTAAACTTGAATGTAAATATTACAATGATAACATTAAAAAAGCAAAAGAAAATGCTTCCCATACTATTAATATTCATTTATCACTTGCTAGTAAAGAAAGACCTATTTCAAATACTGTTGATGGTAAGAGTTTTATAATGCCTCTTTAAACTGTTTTGCGAAAAATATATAATTGTCAAATTTCTAAAATATGAATAATGCTAGCTATTGCTCATTTTTGTTATAATTGGACACAAAGTGTTCCAATACCATATTCTCCACAACAAATTGATCCTTTGTACTTTAAGAGTATGTGCTTAGTCAATATTTTTGGAATTAATAATACCAGTAATTAGCCTCAATCTCATCAAATAAATTACTTTGTAGATAAAGAGAAGTTCCCTGTAGGAGTAGTAAAGGGTGCAAATACAATTCTAAGTTTGGTCTATAACACACTTATTGAATATAACAGAGGTAAGAAAAACATCAAGATTACTTATGATAACTGTGAAGGGCAAAACAAGAATAATGCTACTATTGCTTTCTACTATACATGTTGCTGAAATTCGTAGATTCTTGACACAATTGATCAATTATTTGATGCAATTAATTGAGTTACTATTAAAACATATAAATAAATGAGTCATGATATAATTATTTTTGAGAATTTTGGGAATTGAGTCAACAGCAAAATAATTTATGCCACATGTATACTTTCTACTGTTGGTTGGTACTAATTGATATGTTTGACACTATTGAACTTAATTTCATGATACCCGGGCACACAAAATTTATTTGTGATAGATATTTTGGGCTTTTGAAAGCTTGTTACAAAAAGTCAGTGGTAAATACTGTTGATGATATTGTTGAAGTAACTAGAATGTCTACCCATGGCAATAATGCAATCTGTTACAGAGATCATAAGTGAAAATATTTTGATTTTATCAATTATTTTATTTCTTATTTTAAAAAAGTTCCAATATTAGATGTTACTATCATTTTTTATTTAAGTTTACTGAACGTGGCAAAGTTTTCTATCAGGAAACTGCTAATGAAGAATTTACAATTATTGATTTATTTAAAAAGAATACTATATTTGATTCTTACATATTATCAAAGACTCTAGATTTACAACCTATTTTACTTATGAGACAGACATATCTTTATAATGAAGTAAGAAGATTTGTCAACAATCCTTATAAGGATATAACTTGCCCTAGACTGCCAAATAGTTAAATAAAGTTTATTGCATTACTATTGGTTGCTTAAATTTTGGGGTAATATGTAATTACCATAAAAATGGCCCAATTTTTTTGAAACCAATTTTCTAATAACATCTATTTTTGCAAATGCACCATTTTCATAGATCAGTCATCATATATAATAGCAACCATTGTCAATATAGCTAACAATAAGTCAAGTTAGTTGTTGGTATTATGTTAGTGATTAAAGAACTTATATCAGAAAATTTTCAAAAATTTTTAATATAGAATTTTTTAAAATAAAAAAATTCTGGAAATTTTTATTTCAAAAAAATTTAAAATTATTTGAAGTAATAATAATTATATTAAAATAAATAATTATTTAATAAATATTCATTACTTTTGCTCTATACATCTTCAATATTATTAGAAATAATAAGAAATTTTGACACATTTAAATCTTCATTAAACTTATTACTAGAGTCCACAGTATGGTTCCGAAAATTGGAATCGAATAGAATCGAACAGAATCACATGAGGTTCGGAACACTATTAAAAATGATAGTGGGGTATACCCACCTATTAAATTTAATATAAACTTGAGAATCGAATACAGAATCGAATAGAATCGTTAGGATCCTTAGTCCACAGTTAAAATACATTTGCTAATATATCTTGTATAAGAAGAATGTTTTGAAAAGATATGTTGACAAAATTGACATTTGTAATTCATTTTATAAGCCTTTGAAGGAATCTAAAAAAATGTGTAAAATCAATCAATAAAATATTAATTAATTTTGACCAATCAAAAATTTAATTTATAAGTTGCAATAATTATGTCAACAAAATGATAAATTTTCGAATAATGACTTAATAATTTAAATTTATGAATTAATTTTCAAAAGGTAATGAAGAAAAGTTAGCAGTCATAATATAACATAATTTCTTGGAATTCGTATTATATAAGGTTTTTAAAGTTCTTACTTTTTATTTAATATCAAACAAAAAACAAGAAATGCGTAAAATGTTTCAAAAACCTATTTCTGGTTTTGCCAAAAAGGGAAAAGGAAAAAGTTAAGGAAGCACTTCGAAGTCCTTTAAAAAGACAAAGAGTACTCAGGGAACCCAAGAGCCATCTACTAAACAAAGACTCTCGACTCCTATTGAAATAGAAACCGAAATATCTCAGAAGTGATTGAGATCCCTTGGATATTTATTCTAATTGTCTTTTGATACACCAGTATAGAGAACATCCAAAGAAACTTCAGGTATATTTAAAAATTTGTTATAATTTAAAATAAATACTACTAACTTATATATTTAGTTCCTAATAAAACCATTGAAAGAATCATGAAGTCCCACGAAGGTCTTCATAAAAATCAATTAATTGTTAGAACGGCAAAAAATTATAGAGGATAAGGTTACCCATCTGGAAAATAAAATTCATGCAAGTCAACATTTAATTACCGAACATGATTTTATCGAGATAAGGTTCATTTTATTTTTTTTAAAGATCTTCGAAAACTTATACAGTATTTTATTTAAATAATGTGCAGTTAAGAGTATCATAAAACAAGTATTTTTTGAAAAAATATATTCGGACCCTGAAGATTTTTGCCGAACAATCAAGAAATTTTTTCAACAAGAACTATTCAGAGTTTTACGAAGGCCTCACAAGAAAACGCTGGAAAACATATTATAAAAAACATATTCATCAAGTGGTAATTCTTATAAATATTAATAACTTTAGGTTCAGTAGTTATTAAATACCTTATTGCTTTAAAAGCTCGTGAAACAACATCGATCGCTTCAGGGGACTATGGCTTTAAAAATTTGTGACGCCATGTTTTCAGTCTTTGGCAAAGGGTTTTTGGATACAATAAATACGAATGCATCTGCCACTGACATTTTGGCCTGGAAACAATCTTAAAAGACTGCCAAATGCTTTAAAAACCTTCACAAATGCTCAAGAGGAGAGACAAAAAGCATAATGGCCCATATTCTCAAAAAAGTCTAGCCAAAAGGTGATATTTCCAAAAAACAAATGGCAATATGTCAAACAATTCTTGATCCGAATAATGAAAATATTTCAATAAATGAAACGTTAATTAAAAGCAAAGTAGAAAAAAATAAGGTAAGTTTTAAAAATCTTCGAAGTTTTATAAATTATTGCTAATAATATTTTAGGAAAGAATTAAAAAAGGACTCAGATTCGAAGAAGAAACTTCAAATAGTGAAGATGAAGAAATGACTGAGTGACAAATTATTACTATAAGTGATAATCTGAAGAAATGCAAAAATACTGAAAATGATTTAGAACAATTACTGGAAAATAAAGAATTAGAAAGAAGGACTTCAGCAATAGGTAAAGATTTAATCAAATAAATAAATGTAAACAAGCATTATGTAATAATAAATAATTTTAAAAGCCAATAAACATTAAAAATTGAATATTAATAGATTATAATATATGAATATAAATATATTTTATTATTATTAAAATAAATTGAAGATCTCTGAAGTTTAATATAGTAATCTTTGCTCTGGAGTCTTTTAATGATGACAGAGGTCCTCTGGAGGTCTACGCCTGAAGATCTTCAGAGATCTTTGTTAAAAATTTCCTGATGTATAGTGCTTTGACCCAGAAAACCAACACAGTTGTATTTAGATAGAATGTTGTTTTTTTTTATTATTTTGGTTAATTTTCTATTAATTATACCTGTGAATACTTTCCTTGTGGAATTAACAAGAGAGATGGGTTTGGTGTCATTTAGTTTATAACTCCAAATTAGTTTTTTTGGAATGAGGGTAACAATGATTTGTTTTTATTGTTCGGGTATATTGGCAGATTGTAGGATATTATTGAAAATGAATATCATATAAAGAATTATTTTTTCTATTATAAGCTTGATGATATCATAGCTAATTCCTGATTTTCTTAGGATTTTATGTCTAGAAAGATTGTGAATAGCTTTTTTGATAATAGGAGGTTTAAGAGGGTTCATTAGCTTACCATAAATTTTTTGATTTATTGTTTTTGGTAAATAGATTTCTTCCCAATTCGGGTGATTGCTAAGATTGAAGTTTCTTGGTTATAAGAAGTTTTTAAAATATTTGTTGATTGTTTCTTGAATTAAATCTGGATTATTCTTTAGTTGATTATTTGAGTTGTATAGCTTACGAAGATCGATTTTAGATTTGATTGTATCAAGGGCTTTTTTAATATAGCTTTTTGGCTTGCTATAGAAGTTTTCCATCATGTTTTCTACATTTAAGTAATATTCTTTGATAACTTCTTGTTGTGATTAGATTAAGGCTTCCTTAATTAGAAGTTTTTTCAATTTTTAAAGACCTTTGATTGATATGTTGGAGTCAAGATTGGAGATCTCATAAAGAGATAGAAGTTCTTAATCAAGAAGAGATGAGGATAGGAAGTTGTTTTTAAGTTGTATCATTGCCTTGTTGATTTTTCTAGATTGTTTTTTAAGTTTTTTCTCAGCATTAGTGCAATAGTCTTTCTTGATAAAGTTGACTTTGGACTTCTTGATATATTTGTTGAGAGTGTTAATGCAAATATTGTAAAAGTCATGCCAATTGGATAATAATAGAAGTGTAAGTCACAAATCTAGTTTCTTTGTGAATTCTAGAATATTTTCTTTTGGAGTCTTGTCTAAATCAAATTTAAACTTTGGTTTAATCTTTCTGAATTCGAAATAGTCTATTTTTATTGATACTGCTTAATAGTCTATTGGAATTGAGTTAACTTCCAACACTTTATACCAAATCACTTTAGAAGCAAGGTTTCTTGAAATCCATATTTGGTCTATACAGAAAGTGCTGGTGACAATAAAGTGTATAAATGCTTTGCTGTCATACTGTTGCCCTATGTCTATATAATTAATAAGATGTTTGTATTGTTAGTTCTATAAAAGTCACAGGGTATAGTCATGTACTGTAACTATTGTATTGCATATCCTGGAAATATGAAGTAGCATTAATAATCAGCATAGAAAATGTAATCATCGAAGCTTACATAACTTATCCATAGTTTGTTTTAGTCCTGATAATCTATTTTTCCTTTATTGTTTTTCTAATAGTAGCAATGATATAAATAGTAATGCCAATGTATGAGCAAAAAGAGAGATAGAAAATTGAAAAAAAAAGGGAATAAGAATAAAAATTAAAATACCAAATAAGAAATATTGTAATTAACAACTTATCTTTTCAAGTACACACCATACAAGGAAAGATAATTGCTGTTATAGGACATAGCCCAGAATTATCAAGAGAAAAGCTGGTGTCAGGAAAGAAGAGAAAAGTTTATTAATAACAAAAAGCCCTGGCTAAATCAATCTTACACACCTTGACTTACCTTAGTTACGCAAACATTGGACCAGTGAAGCAACTGACTTATCATTTTCCAGGTCAACAATATATTAGTTATTTGTAAGGTGAAGTTTTGGCTTCAATGGAAGAGCTGTCTTTGATATATGAATTGAAATCTCCAGCAATCATGTAATAAAGTTTGTTGTGAATAGCACATTTAATTGCTTAATGAATTTGTCTAATGGCTGGATCTCTTTCTTTTTTTTCATGTGGAAGATAGACCATAGTAAGAAGGATGTTTATTTTTTCTTTGAATTTCAGAACAATTGAGAAGCAATATTCAGATACGTCATATATTTTGAATACATGTGATGATAAATCTTTGCCGATGACTATCATA